CCCTCGGGCAGCAGGACAGTGCTGTGTGAGAGGAGCCGTCAAAGCAGGGGAGGCTCAACCCCACAGCAAAGCCCCGTTAGTTCTGTACCAAAAGGGCCTCACCAACACCTTCCTGAGGCTCATCCCACATCACCTCCACACAAGACACCTTCCCTCAGCACAGAGCTCCAGGTGCTGCCATGGGAGGTGCTCCCAGTTGTGCCCCACTCTGCTCCTCCCTGGGGCTGGGCTGGGGCTTTGTCACCCCCTGGACACCCTGAGGAGACTCTCATCTCTGGAGGGGGCACTGACAAGGGGAAGTCTTTCCAATAAGCCTCTGGACAAGGATTTGGGCTTTCCTGTTGGGTGCCTTCCAGATGCTGACATGGCATTTGTGAGTGGTTACTTGACTGAGGCAGGATTTGATCTGAGGGAAGATTTTAGCATTTCAATACAGAGTGTCTGTGCTTACCTGTTCTGTGTCAGCCCAGACTGCAACGCTTGGACTCGATCTTGGAGGTCTTTTCCAACTTAAATGATTCCCTAATTTGAGAAATTACCCCACAACAAACCAAATAAAACCTACTTGGCAAAAGCCCATCCTCCCACGAGGCTTCCAGCGTGGATCTGGAGAAGTTCCTACAGCTTTTCCACCAGCATTTTCCAAGAAGGGATTGCAAGTTGAAACACTGAGTGCTTAATGTTGGTATTTAGGGTTACAACAGGAAAAATCTCACACAGAGCTTTATACAAGAAGTCCAGCAGGGTCAAAACCCACCATCCCAGGCTGTATCAGGAGGGGTTTTAACAAAACTTTCTAAACACTGGCTCAGGAGAAGACACAAGGCAGAGAATCAAAGCTCCCAAGCAGCACAACTGCTGAGGGTGCTCAAGAGGGAGCAAGGAGAGGGTTTAGACACAAAACACCAGTTTTGTTTAAGGGGAAGGTGGACAGAAACCTCTGCAAGGGTTGCTCCATGTCCATCTTTGCTCCATCACACCAAGCTGCTTCAGCTGGACTCAGGGACCACAGACACAGGGAAGTTCAGGTGTGGTGTTTGTGGCTTCAGGACAACCATCATCTATCAGAGGAACTTGGAAAACAACTCTGACATGATGCTTTACACGCTCTCCACATCTGAGAGGACACAGGTCCACAGGGGCTGTTTGGGCTTCTTACCAGTACCAGTGTATGAAGGATGCCACATAATTCAATATTAAAAGAAAAAACCCAACCAAACAAGAAGAGCCCCCAAACCAACCTCCCTCAACCAAAAATACAGCACTCATAGAACCCCAAAATTAGGTTGCCTTTTGAAAAAAAACTGTGTCAAAGACCAGCAAGAAAAAAAGCTCTACAAAATGTTCAGCCTGTGCAGATTAAATTCACTCCAGACAGGACCCAAAAGGAGGGGAAGCAAAGCAGGTGCCCATGTCCAGGCAGGGCATCAGGGCACAGACTGATCCCGCCAGGCTTTGGAAGCTGCTCCCTCTGTGCTCACCATCAGCCAAGAACACGTTTCTCTCCCAGCCATCACACACCAGCAGTTTCCAGGGTAGAAGTTCAGCAGTAGTTCTGGTTTGATACCAGCTCTAACCAAGGATGCCATTCCCAGTCATCCAAGTTCACAGAATCCCAGACTGGTTTGGTCTGGAAGGGACCTTAAAGCTCATCTGGTTCCACCCCCTGCCATGGGCAGGGACACCTTTCACTATCCCAGCTTGCTCCAAGCCCCATCCAGCCTGGCTTTGGACACTTCCAGGGACGGAATGAGCAGGAGTTCACTGGTTATTCAAAATGTAAACTTCTATCTACATCCCACAACTTGCTCTTTCAACCCAAAGAAACATTTAGAGCTGAGCAACAAATGGGTTTGCTCATGAAAGGACAAGAATGGTAAATATATCCAGCTCCCACTCGCCCTGAGATGGTTTCACCTGACTGTAAACAATAAAAACTAAACATTCTCACACAGGGAAGGAAAGGGGGGGACACACTGAGAGGCAGAAACAATAAAATAGATCCTGTGGGTGCCAGATCAGAGGAGGAGTAAGCCATGGGTTGTGGTAACTCCTGAACAGCCAAGACAGCTCTGGCTTCCTTCAACCCCACAGGTTGAAGTCACAAGTTCCAAGAAGGAAGGGGACAGTGTGGGTTTGGTGAGAGCACACATATTTCTGCATGAAGATAGAGGCACACGACCAGCAAGGCCACTCCAGGTCACCCACAAAGCCCTGCCCGTGGCCAGAGCGAGCCAGGCTTGGCAGGGAGCTAAAAAAGCCAAGATGAAGGTGACTGGAGATGGTTGAGAGAGGGACAGCACAGGACTGGAGCATCAGGGAGAAGGGAGAGAGCAGCCACAAGAGCAAAGGAAGCAACACGAGCCAAAATAAATGGGTTAAAAAAAATTTAAAAAGAAATAATAAAAAAAAAAGCAATCAAGCCACAGTGAGTTTGAGGGAATTATTTAATGGAGATCAAATTGCAACACAATACAAGAGTACAGGCAGTGTTAGCACAGATCTAGTCACACACACTTCCAGGGGAGGGCAGGGGCAGCTGCAGGGATCCCTCCCGGAGTCTCCGAGCGCTGTCACTCACACAGGAGCACAAGGTCACTCACACAAGGTTCTGTGTTTATCAAGGACAGCTTTCCTTCCACTCAAATACACCTCTGACTTCCAAGCTCTGCCTGGACATGCCTGGAGCCTGACCCAAGGGCTCCTCCACCTGGAGTGGGAGCACTGAGCACGTTCAGAAGTGGTTTGTTTTCCTGGTTCCTGAGTTGTAACTCATTGGGAACAGTTTTCTTCTGCACCTCCCACATGCCCAGGTCTCCTGCCTTGCTCTCCCTCCAGCATCTGCTGCTCAGGGCACAAAGGAAATCCACCTTTAAATGGGCAAAGCTTCCCATCATCCTTCCTTTAGGCTTCTGATCTTCTCCTGTACATCAGAGCTGGGAGCAAGAACAGCTCTAGAGCTGTTTTGCTGCTGCAGATGACCAAGACCATCCAAAAACACAGCCAGGCATTGCTGTCTGCAGCCAGAAAAACCACCAAGAAAGTCACAGGCCCAGGGTTAGGGAACAGTTTGCTGAGCACACCAGGGACACAAGATCATATCCAACTCAGCCCTGCTGGTTTTGCTACGTCAGTTGATGGATGCAGATTGAACAGAAGAGTCCAAGGACATTTCAGGATGCAGCTTACTTGGAAGCATTGGGAAAGCATGATAATAACTAAAAATATTTTGGGAAAAAAAAAACAAACCCACCTCTTGCCTTGCCAAAAAAGCTGTGACAGAAATGCAGCAGCACATCCTGCTGAAGGACAAGCTGGTGTTTCAAGCACAGTAATCAGGTCTCTAGTTCTGCCCAGGATCAGCTCCATCCCAAATCTGCAGGTCCAGGGAGGTTGGGCTTTGAGCCATGGGAATGTTTAAGCCAACTCAGCACTGAACTAGGAGAGGTTCCAAAATACAAGGGATCATGTTCCTCCTCTGGGTCGCTCCGTGCACTGGATGGGCACTGAGGAGCTCAAGGAATGTATCCAGGCATGTATCCTCTGCTGCCAGAGCTGGGGGGGATCTAAGCAGCCCAGCACTTTTTAACAAACCACATTTCCTTAGCACGTGTAAAGAAAAAAAAAGGGAATTCCATGAACAATCTACAGAATCCACAGTGTAAAGAAAGCCATGCAAGGGGAAGAAGGCAACTTAAAGTACTAAATAATAAAGTTTAAAAACTGGACAGGGATGGAAGAGGTTGGTGACATGACAAGCTCAGAGTTCCTAGAAAGGCAACATCCAGAGCCCATGGCCTCCTGTGCCGTTTGACACTGGAACATATTCCATGTACACCTTCAAAGGAGCAGGTTTATAGTCCCAAAATAGCTAAGCTGGGTCAGGTTTTCAGTTAAATGCTAGGGGAAAAAAAAAAAACAAAAAAGGCTCCTTCCTCCAGTTCACAGTACAACCCTCCCAAACAAATGGCCATCCACACAAGGGACAGAGCACATCCTCCCTGCTCAAACGTCACCAGACTTGCTTTTACTACACAACTGTGGTCATGCCAGCAGCAAAAAAAGTCTCAACTACCTGAACACTTCACTGCAAGTGAGACTCATCCCAACAGGAGCAGATGTGTTAATGGATCATCCAAGCTGCAGCTGCTACAGATTCAGGACTATTTCAAAGCATGTATGGCTTATTAATGTCCTGTCACCTCGTGGATGTGACATCTGCCCCACCAAGAAGGGAAACCACCTCCCTCAGTTCTCTCAGTTGTCACTGCTCCTTTCTCTCTCCCCTCCATACAGGTCTCTGACCTTTTTCAGTAAGTTCCAATGTCACAAAGCCAACCAGATCTGCCTCAAAAATCATTCTTGGATGGCTCAATTGCAAAGCAGGTGAAGAGAATCCCCCAAAACCTCCTCCCTTGTCATTTTGTGAGCCCCTGGAAAAACAGGGGAGGGCAACCTAAGAGTAGCTCAGTTGGTCAGAGCACAGTGCTAATAATGACAAGGTTTGATCCCTGTATGGGCCACTCACTTCAGAGTTGGACTCAGTGATCCTTGGGGTCCCTTCCAGCTGAGAACAGTCTGTGATGAACCAGGAAACTCCCCCACTGAGGTGTCTGCTGAGGGTCCAGCAGGGGCACAGCTGACAGAACCCCAGCCACCAGCCTGCCCTCCAGTTCTGACAACGCCACAGGTGTTCTCCAGAGTCACACCCTGCCTTCCCAGCATTCCAGACACCAACACCCTGTGGATAAGTGCCAAGAGCTGAGGGTGACCAGACCCCAGGCTCACAGCCCTGCACACCAACCTCTCCCCCTCCCCTGGAGCTGTCACCCCTCAGCCAGGACACACGTGCTCCACATCGTTTCCAGTGAAGCCACTCCGTCCCCAGGCCAGGAGAGCAGCGTTCCTGGTGCCTCTGGAGAGGGACACAGCTCCCTGCACGAGGGTCACACGTCCTGCAGCGCTGCGGACACACCGAGAGATGAGACAAGCGGAACAGGTTTAGACCAAAAGCAGTGGACATTTATTCCTCGTTTGTGCAAGAGTGTCAAGATGCATTTGGGAATGGCTGGGACAGACCCTGTGGCCGGAGAGCCAGCGGCTCCAGCCTCTCCTGCCCGATGGCTTGGGTTACAATTCTACTAAGAGGAGATAAACTTGCAGACTCACCTACTGTCACACCAACGATGCTGGCAAATACACTTGTATACAAAGAAAAGTTTCAAACTACATTTTTGTCTTTTTTTTTCACTAGATTCAAGTGAAGACTTTGTTCCAAAAAAAAAAAAAAAAAAAAAAAAAGACACATACAAGTACAATTTAAAACTGTATGAACATTTGCAAATGTTTAGTGCAAAGTAATTATGTAAAAGCTACATTTTATGAAAGTTTGTGCTGATGTGTTTGGTAGGTTTTTTTTTTCATTTTTTTACCCTTTTACATCCATTTTTTTTTTTTAGTTACATAAGGTTTCACTTACCTACAGTACATATGCATTGTGTTAGGTCCCATGCAAGTGGGAGTAATACCATCAGGCTTTGTAAAATGTCACTCTGATTCGCATTTAGTAAACTGCTTATTTGGTTTAACAGTCAAGTTCCTGGCACACTACACATCCTGATTTCATCTAAGTGCTCAAGCTCCTGTTTGCCTCTTCAGGTGCCTTGTGTGATGCAAACCAAACTGCTTCACGACTTCAACCCAAAAGTTGGTTTGTTTGTTTTTGTTTGTTTTTTTTTTTTTTAAAGAGAAATCCACCGTTAGTTTAAGCCTGTAACAAACTGCTCTGAAAATTAAAAGCCTATTCACACAAAGTTATATGTAATGACTGTAGTAATCAGTTTATTACACAGATTAATCATTCTTGAACGTACAAGCTCCAGGGGAGCAGTTGGGTCTTTAAATACACACAAGTTTTCTGTCAAATGGATTTTTTTTTTTTTTTTACCCTTACATCCAGAAAGACCTAAGCAGTTAAAAAACTTAAGAAAAAATAAGAGCTATTAGCTAGGTATTAACTGAGAAACCACATACAAACCAAAAAAAGTATGAAGGGAGGGAGAGAGTTGAAACAAATCAACATCACTTGATGCACTAATAGCTCCAATCCATTTAAATGGTGACCGGTTAAACTTAGACCTTAAACACAGGATGTGGGTACAGTTTCTCATTGGTCATAACATTTACCTAAGGTGTAGGTCCTTCAGAATAAAATGAATACAGAAACAGCTTCAAGTTCTTCACCTTGCTTTTCATAACTGTTATGAGTTTAAAAGGATTCCGCTTAAAATCCTTCATGGATCAGCAACACTGTCCCTAAGAAATCTGAGAACCACCAGGACCTTTCCCATTCCCATCTGATCACCCAATTTAACTCAGCAAGGAATGCTTTTAGGCTCACAAAGTTATGACTGAAGAACCAGCTTTTCACACACACACTTCTCTGCTAGGAGTCAATGTTGGTACGGGGAAATACAGTATTTCTAGTTTGTTGTTCCAAGTATGTACAACACGCAGCACTGCTGTATCAGGTAAACATGTGCACAGGGGAAGATGAGGCGTGGGCTCATAGAAAGCAGTCAAATGGAAATCAAAAGGACTTTCTCTTTCAGAGTTCCCCTATCTTTATTTGTAGAGGTTATCCAATAATTTCTTTAATTACATCGCATACTTCTGAGTCCATTCCCGAGCTATTCTGTTGTACCTGTATGTATAAAAAGAGGATTGACTTAACGTGGCATCTGCACAGCATTCCAGCTCCAGCAGTCCAGTCTACACATGGCATCAACTCACACTCTCTACAGTACACACTGTCATCAATTTGTAACATTTAAGAGCAAAATTGAACACTGAGCAAACAGGGGGAACAGGAGAGCCCAGGGTGCTTCATGGAAAAGAAATACCTGGTCGTGTTTACAACAGGAGTATGAGATCTGTGACTGGAGCCATAACACAGAGCTAGAATAGGGCTGAGGGCTTTACCTGTGCCTCCCCCAACCCACATCTGCTGCATCCCTGGGAAAACTTGCTGTAAGGTTTCATTTGGACATTGTGGAATAGATTAATGTGTCCCTCCCATCTCCTTCTTCCCCTCAAAGTTAAACCAAACACCTGCCATCAGCTCATCTGTCCAACCCCAACAGCCCCGTTCCTTCCTACATATTTGACAGTGCCATTTTTTGATGACTGTCAGGACACAGTGATTTGTCCATCAGAACTGGTTTTGTTCTGAAGGCACAACAATTCCAAACCCCTCCGTGGCTTTTGCACCCAAACACCCTTCACAGCCAGAGGAATCACAGGACACTTGTGTAAAACAAAGCAGTTGTGTGATTAACTGCACTGATGAAAGCTTCTCTCTGACAACAAGCTGTTCTTATTCTACAGAATTAAAAGAATAAGACACTTACAGCCAGAATTGCCCTATAGTTATGCACGCCAAGTTGGTTTGTGTTGGAATTTAGTCCATAGACAACATTCTTTAGCTTAAAGAATCTGAAAATCCACTCCTAACTCTCTCCTTCCCATCACTGCTCAGAGACTACTCAAGCAGCAAGTTTATGGTTAAGCCCAAAATTTATTTCCCTATTTCTGGAGAAAAAAAAAAAAAAAAAAAAAAAAGGAGTCCTGCATACTGTAAGTGCAGACAGTCAGTGTTCACTGCATCTCCAAACAGGTGCTGCTGCTCTTGCAGCTCTCAAAAACAAGGATGCATGAACTTCTCTAACACTGCTCCTCAAGTAGGCAGTAGACAAAGCAAATTTTTGGATCATTTTCCCTCCCCTGACCAGATCTGGGAGGGAACGGAGAGGTAGGAAGTGTTTACAATGGTCATTAAGCTGTTAAAGTGCTCAATAGCACTAAAGCTTCTCTGTACAGAAGCTTGGGAGTCCTCCTACCCCAACCTCTCCACCACTTGTTCTTCCCTTGCGTTGTCAAGTGAAGGAGAAACAAGGAGTTTTTGTTATTTCTTTGTATGATTCCAGACCCAGAGCTGCCACGGAATATTCTCCCGTTGGAGTAACTTGCTCTCCCTCTGCTGGCTATGTGGGATTAAAGCAGCTCAGAGAGTGGCACTACAGATCCCAGGAAAAAACAAAAACACCTCTAAAAAGACCACAGTCAGAGCTCTGATTTGCCTTTTCACTCTTTTCCAAGAAGTGGAGCCTTTCAGTTCCCCTTTAGTGTGTAAGTGTGGACTCTGCCCTGTCAAATGCCACAGTTTTTTTGGCTTCCATACTCACTTTTCTCTATCTGTTTTGTAGATCCGTGCAATCTCAGGCACTAAAGGATCATCTGGATTGGGATCACACAACAGAGAACAGATGGACAAAAGTACTGGGGAGAGAAGAGAGACACAATTAGTTTCAGTGCAGCTGAGGACACCTGCACAGGCCAGTCCACGCCCTTCCTTCCCCTCCAGCCAGTAGCATCAGCAGTATTTATTTAAAATTCCCAAGGAGCAGTAATCCCAGGTACATCAGCTGAGTGATTCTGAACAGAATTCCTTACCAGTGAACTACACAACTTCTCATGACCACAGTGTCACAAGGAGTAACCTCCTGGACAGGTGTGTCCAGCAGCAGCCGTGTCTACCTGAACCCACATCCAAGAGCATTCTGGGAAGACATCCCTGCTTTTGCACCTGAAATTCAGCTTTTCCCTAAACCAGACACCTCACTGTTAAATGACCTGGAGTTGCACTAATCAAAAGTCAAACAGCAGACAAATCCAGCTGAGATGAGGTCAGAAAGGGCTGTTCACAGCTACTTAAGAATCACAGAATGGTTTGGGTTGGAAGGGACTTCAAAGCTCATCATTCCAACCCCCTGCCACAGGCAGGGACAACTTCCACTAGACCAGGTTGCTCCAAGTCCCATCCAACCTGGCCTTGAAGATCTGTTTAAAAATATACCAGTCTTGCAGAGAACTAAGAGGCTTTACCCAATTATTTTCCAAGCATCAGGAAGACTGAGATGGATTAAGTGTAGTGTCATATCCAAAATGACCCGAGAACACCCAGCTCCCTGCACTGCTCCCAACCCCAGAGCCCTGGAACTTGAGTGTTCCACTCTAAATATATAGTGCCTATATCCCAGAGGCCACATCCTGCTCGGCTGAGTGACAACCCTCATCCATACAAGGAGCCAGGAGACTGCTGCAAAGCCACAAATAGCGCACGGACATTCCTACGTTCACACCAGAGAGGAGAGGGGAAGGCAGTGAGTTACAAGCAGAGCACATTGGGACAACACTACGCCAGGCACGGCAGGGACATGTTGCCCCCCTCCCAGAAATGCCAAACATTCCCTTCTCTCCGCCTGTTTGGATCAAACAGTGCCACTCCATATGTCCCTTCACCAATTGCAGCGACGCGCAGTTGTCACAGTGCAGCCTCCGAGCGAGCAGGAGATGACAAGAGTGAGGAGTTTGAAGACACTAAAACACAAATCTGCTCCAATTTCCATCACTTGCAGGAGGCAGCTATCCATGAAAAGTGAAAGGAAACAGCACATAGCCCCACAAAAACAACAAAGGAGTTAAGATGGGTTAAAATAAAGGCCACAAAACAGATCACAGAACGGTTTGGGTTGGAAAGGACCTTAAAGCTCAGCTGGTTCCACCCCCTGCAAGGGGCAGGGACACCTTTCACTAGCCCAGGTTGCTCCAACCCCCATCCAACCTGGCCTTGAACACTTCCAGGGACAGGGCAGCCACAGCTTCTCTGGACAACCTGTGCCAGGGCCTCCCCACCCTCCAGAGAGAAGAGGGAAACAGATCTGATATTTCTTAGAAAGGGAGGGTTTTTTCCAAGTGGGACAAAAGTGAAAGCTTCCCCATGTCTGAACTGAGGGTGCTGCTTGGTGGTGTGAGCACCAGAAACACAGAAAGCCACTTAGTTCAGCTTTCTCCCCGTTTCTGTAGACCCTTCACTAATCAATTCTCAATTTCAAGTTCAAAGCATTTAGGGGAAGTGTGGTAAAAAAGTGGCCTTGATTTAAGTGAACACATTTTTGGTTCTAGAATAAAGAGCAGTTTTCCTTTTCCCAGTTTTCTACTGTACACTTGCGAGAGAGTTAAGGGCTTCATTATCCTCTATCATAATTGACATTTGGGCTATTTATTGAGCTCCCTCTCAGAACAACTTCAGAGCGTGAGGGAGGTCGTAGATGCAACTAGTCCTGAAGTGCTGTCCCTCAGCAAGGGACAAAGCACATGTAGCACCTGTAGTACAGCTGCAGCACCAGCTCCTTTCCCCCACATACACTGAGTAAAGAGTTCAGTAATAGAACTCTTTGACACATCCAGCTGCTCCCAGTCAGTTCAGCCTCAAAACAGCTGTTTCTCCAGCAATTTTCTTGTAGCTCATTCCTTTCTGTCTGTCAGACTCCACTGCTCTGATCACTTGAGTTTCTTCAGCTGTAGGATGAGTGAGACAGCTCAAACCTGTCCCCTGCCTTCACCAGACACAGCAGGAAATCCAATCCAAGTTTTCTGGTCAACTGTTGTAACTGTTCCCTCAAGTTTTATCTTACCACAGGCTTTAAAAACCAAAGGACTATTCTGAACACAATGGCTCAGAACCACACTGCAGATCTGGCCAGTGCTCTCAGCCCACCCTATCACTCCTCTTCCCAACACTCAGCACTTCACTGTTCAGCATCACTCCAAAAACACTGAATAAAAATGGACAGAATCATTTGGCTTCAAGCTGCACTACCACATTCATCTGCTTTGCTTTTTTAAGTCTTCATTAATCCAAACTATTCTCATTATACTTGTTCTTGCTGCTGACTTCCCATCATTCCCTTTTTATCTGTACAGCCCCAGCAAGAAGAGCATTTTTAACCAGTTATCTAAACTGGTGTAATTTTAATATCCTGCTGAACCCAGCTATTTGTCCAAATCAATTCAGGAAGTTTCTCTTGAGATTTTCCACTAGAACATTTCACATATACACATTTTAGACCAACCAGCATAAGGAGCCTGCAGACCACTACGGAAAAACCCTTGGAAATGGCACCTTCTCCAAGTTTCAAGTGCAAGGGTAAAGAGGAAGCAATCAAATATGTCAGTTGTGTATCAGAGTAACTAATTAAACCAACACTATGGAATTAGAGACTCACCAGACCACCCTCCTCAGCAATCAAGTATTACAGCAATGAACTGCATAGCAAAGCCTTGACAGTCTACCACTCAAATGACTACACTATTAGTAGGAGACAATAAAAAGAGTTCCCAAAAAGTTTGTAACCAGAGAATCAAGCTGAATAACTACACAAGGCAGGTAAGTGACATTTTTACACCTTGTCCTACACATCCTGCATGACCACAGGCAAAGCATTATCAGCTTGACAGCATCTCTTGGAGTCTCCCAATGGAAGGGGTGTACCACAAGTGTGCACTCCTTGAATTCAAGTCTGGATTTTTGTCAGTAACTGCAAAATAAATTTTACTTGCCATTGATTCATCCCTTGAAACAACTCTGTAAAGAATTATTTCTCACCTCTTCACTCTTAGCTGTCAGAGTTGCCCAGTCTGCAGCAGAACATTAAGCAACTTAGAACCACTGTCAATTTAAAGCTTCCTTTCACTTCAAAATTGGGTTTGTTTTGTTTTATTTCACCCACCAGGCAGCCTATTGACCTCCAACCCTTCAGCTGTGCTCCCCATCTATCTCTGCAGACAACAAATGCAACTTATTCTTCAGTGTGGTTCCTGCTAGCACAGACCAAGTACTTCTCAATACCGAGGGACTGGGAGAACCAAACTCAAACAGGCTGACAACAAAGTGGTTCTAAAAATAGGCTTAGCTTCCCCACAGAGCAGTGAGGGAAATGCACCCTCATCAGGCAGAACGATCACTGAGCACTTAATATTAAACTGCTTGAGTAACATGCAGGGTAGTCTGCAGTGTAACGCAGCACAAACGGCATCCGAGCTCCCCCTGCAAGACTTGCCTTTACAAAGCACAAAACACTCTGAAGTTCAAGCACAGTCTTTCTCCAGGAAAGAAATCCTGCCCTGGACAGATTGTCAGCAGGATCAGCTACAGTTCAGCACTGCATGATCCACCTCACCTCAGCAGCTGCTGTGCTCTCACACCACCCAGGCCAGCCCACCACCCTCCTGCTTCTGCCCCACCTCAGACTGAAGGTGTGGGTAAGATGCAAATTCCACATGTAAATTCCATGGCTGAGGTTCCTCTGCCATGAAGCAGCTCAGGACAACCCATGACATCAGCTCTCCTCGGGTCCTTCCAGCAGTAGCCAAATGAGCAGTGTGGAACACAATCTAAAGCCCTACTGGAACATCTGTTGGCTCATCCAAATTTAAGAGGCATTTTACACTTCCTGGAACTCAGAGGTGAAGAGACTCTTAAAAGCAGTTGATCTTCACTTCCTCATCTTCCAAACACAACCCCCAGATGATTCACTTTGTCTGCAAAGCCTGACTGGTCTAATATCCACCACTCCAGCCATCTCTGACAGGGTACCAGCCACTACAGATACTGCTCTTCAAGTCTAGCTGGAATTCCAAACAAACCTGCTCCTGTAAAGCACTCATCCATGGGACACTTCAGGGTAAGGAAAAGCAACTGAGGAGCAATGGAAATCTCCAGCTGAATCACAGCAGGGAGATGAAAACACCAATTTTTCCAAGGTAATGAAGCTATCCAGAGGAAACGACTGGTGTGTTCTGATCCAACAGCAGCTTGGTGCAGTTACTGCCCTCCAAAGAGGAGCCAGTTTAAAATCCATCCAGGAACAAGGGTCCATCTCTAAGCAAGCACAGAGACTACTTAACAAACCCTTTGTTGGTGCAAAGTACCAGGAAAGTGCTGAGATGGTTGCTGTGCATGCCAGACTGTCAGGACAGCAGGATGACACTTACTCAGCTCTCGGTCTTGGCTGCAGTCACACACAGCCTCAGGATCACCTTATAATCAAAAAGGTCATGCACTGACACAGAACAGTTGGATAACACAGGGAAGCATTGATTCCTGGCCATCACAGTTCCCAGCAATGGCATCAGCCCACCCCACCTGCTGTCCCAGGGGAGTGATGAACACTGTGCCCAGAAGGTCTTCCTATGGAAAGCCATTTGTCACCTCCTGGAGACCAGGAGACAATGCTGTGCCTCCTGATCCAGCAAAGTCTCTGAATATGAAACTAACAGTTTGTCAGCTCAGGTTTAATTGATTGTGAAACACCTTTGCCAGCAGAAATATGAGCCTTGGACACAACACTGCTGAGGAATTCTGAATTCCATGTTGGGGGGTTCATCCAGCTGTCCTGCTTCTCCCACCAGCTCCTTTCACTGATGCCTGGCAGCCTCCACATCAAGGCCCACTGCTACTTCCACCTCTGTTCCTCAAAATCAGGAAGAAACCTGACTCCTGAAAGCAACATTCTCTTGTACAATCACTACTTTGGAGTTTCAGGTCCCAGACTCTTGAAACTTCTAAGGCACACAGCTGTCAAAGAGTTTTACCAGCACAGACAAACATTAAGCTTTTAACTTTAAACACACTGAAAACATCACTGTCCAACAGCTTCAAATGAGTGGCTCCTCACTGTGAACAGGCGAGATGCATTCAAATAAATTAAAAGAGCTTCAGACTCTGCTCCAGTTAAATCCTATTTCTTAACCACAGTCCCATTTCCAACTCCTCCAGCCTCTTCCCCAGCCCTACAGGAAGTGTACCTTTAAATCTGAGCAGTTTAAACTTCTGGCTTCAAAGCAACTTGAATTCCTGCTAAGTCAGTTCAACAATTTCTGGTGACAAAAGAAGAAAAGTTAAGTGTTGCCCAGTGTATCACAGACTGGTTGAGGTTGAAAAGGATCTCTGGAGATCATCTTGTCCAGCCCCCTGCTCAAGCAGGGCCACCTAAGGCAGGTTGGCCATGACTGTGTCCAGGTGGCTTTTGAGTATCTCAGAGGGAGGAGATCCCAAGGCAACCTGTGCTGGTGCTCAGCATCCTCACAGTAAAAATAAAACACAAAGAGGTGTTTTCTGCTGTTCAGAGGGACCCTCCCGGCCTTCAGTTCATGCCCTGTCTCTGGGCACCACTGAGAACAGTCTGGTTCTGTCACCTCTGTACCCTCCCTTCAAGTATTTATAGACACTGATAAGATCCCCCCAAGCTTTGTCTCCTGCAGGCTGAACAGTCCCAGTTCCCAGCCTACCCCCCAATGGGAGATGCTCCAGTCCCTCCATGGCATTCATGGCCCCTCACTGGGCTCCCTCCAGTACATCCATGACCTCCTGTCTGGGGAGCACTGGATATGTGCTCCAGATCCAGCCTCACCAGTGCCAAGCAGAGGGGAAGGATCACACCCTTCCACCTGCCAGCCACACTCCTCATAGTACAAACTTCCTTGGAGCAACACCTGGAAAATTGCACAAGTGGTTAAACCACAGTTTTGAGAGTTAAAAAGCAAAAATGGGCATTTCCCTTAGAGCCCCAACTCAGCACATCATGTCACACCCACACTCTGTGACAGAGCCACCCCCAGTTATTTGGGTAAGCACTACAAGAGGCAAACCAAAAAGCCAAGAAGATGATTAGAAACCAAGTTGCCAGTTTTTAAAACTGCACTGTGAAGGTCCAGTTCATTTAGGTCACTGGGCACTTGGGAAATCCCACACAGGAAGCCTCACTAAAGCAATTCTTGAAGAGTAGCAGCACAGAAAATTCACAGCACACTGGGCATGGAAGGTTGGACAGGGGAGCTGAACTCTGCCATGAATGAGGCTGAAGTTACTCACTGCCCCTCCAGCACACCCAGACAGGCTCCATGAGTCATTACTTACTAAACATGGGGAGAAGTGGGACAGGACAGAGTGAGCTGCCTGACTTTCACTGCAGAAGTACTTCAAGATTAACTCTTGCACACCCACTTGCCAAGTTCAAGAGAAAGCACGTTTTTCCCTCCCACAGAAATGGCTGGGAACAGCTGTAATTGTGTTAAAATATTTCATTCTCCTGTTTCAGGCAACAGGGATTCTTATTTATACACTCTTGGAGATAATGTTTTTAATTTCAGCCTACACATTCTGCTTAAGCTTTGGAGTTCAAACTGCCCACCAAGGAGTGGTTAAGAGTATTTTGAGATGATTTATTCTCCACTTGTTGTATAAGCAACACTGAGTTCAGAATTACTAATACAAGCAAGCCACTTTCTACTAAAACACTCACTGTTGTTCTCCCAAGCCTTCAGAACGTGTTTTAACAATTCTAGGAGGGACAGAACAAACCCCAAGATGCCAATCACCTGTCACAGCCACTATCACTTTATCAAGTTGCTTACAGAGGGCTCCAGAGTGTGAGGGGCCAAGACCCTTCACCACCAAACTGGGATGATGAACTACCACTGACTAGATTTATCACTGTCTTTTCACCAAAAAGGGGCAGTTTAAATGCAAAGGAAGTCCCTGCACACCCCTTCCCCTCCCTCCTTGGAGGTTAAGGTGTAAAACATGTTCATGTACCACACATTAACTGCAACATAACGCCAAGCCTGCTGACAGTGCTGCCTCCCAGCTGCCTCAGGAGGAAGCTGTGCCTGATAAGCTCTTTCCTAGAAGGACTGTTCCTAGTATTTCCAGATTTCTCAATCAGTAGAAAGCACTTTTTTTTTTTCAGCTGTGCTCTAGTTATCTGCTTACAGATTTTCAATTCAAACAGCTTGCTCCCAGTGGCATCCCACTTAAAGGGTGGCATGATTTAGGAAATACTCTAAGAAATCCACAATACAAATACTAAATTGCTGCTTTGGAAGGGATGTGAGCTTATTGCTGAATGTCTTAAAGTCTTGTTATTCACTCTGAGTTACCTAATCCAACAGCTTTTCCTGCTAGGAACACATCCATTCTTCGATGAGGCTGATCAGTCACCAGAGAGCTGAAACAGCCTCAAAGTTTGTCATGACACGTTCTAACCTGACTGAACACAAGATTTCAGTCCTCAAAGACTCAAGTTGCCTTTGTGCAATTCCTTTACACTTGTTCAAGATGGGAACATCAGGTCTTTGCTTCTGAAGCTGAGCTCTGCTTTCTGTGATTCTGAGGAAAGTATTCCCAGTCTCTATGAAGTCACCTGTAAGGATTTGCTTGGCTGCTTTAATTCCTTCAATAAATGTACCCCAAGGGCACTGGGAACAAGGTTTTCTCCCCTGTTAGTGCTGTATGGATGCTGTGCTCGTGCAGCAGAGTTTGGGCACTGAGTGAACTCCCCTGCAGTGAGTGAGAAGCGATCAGAACTACAGCAGGGCACTCACAGGGGCAGTGGGAGGGACATAGTGACACAGAACAACCAGCCTGAGCCCACTGAACTCCAGCTGAGACAGCAGGATACAGTTTGAAAAGGGTAAGAAAAAAAGGAGTCCAAAGCAGAAAACAGAAAGAGATGCTAAAGCATACTGCAAATGTATTTGGGCAGCAAAATTAACATTAGGATGTATTTTCAGTCCACTGTTGCCCTTAATCAGCCTTGTGAATTCTTGCCCCATCTTTTCCCAACTGTGCCAATTCCAGTCCATCTCCCAGTATTTTCAAGCGTGCTGTCTATCACCCCACTGCCCATATGGCCACTTTAGACTCCCTAAAACAACACACATTCTGCCCAGTTACACAGCAATTAAATCAAACCAGAACAGATGTCAGTGCTTGGTTCTAACTTGGTGCTTCCAGGAGCAGCCAGTACTGATTGAGAGCACTTGTAAGGAAATTACAGCAACCTGACAATCATCTTCCCTTTACTGACACCATTTCTTCCGTTCTTTTAACTCACAACAAAGACTTTCAGTCTCGTGCACGAGCAAATTCACTTCTGACAAGAGACAAGGAGATATTGTTTTGCCTTTCCAACTGTTCCTACAAATGCCTTTTAGCTGGACAGAGAAGGTGAGAACTTCTGTGGGCTCAGGGAAAGGGAGACAGTGATGACGTCCAAGGGATGTACCAGGAATCACCTGCCTAAAATAAAAATTGCCCAGAAACATCCCAGAGCTGGGGAGAAGGACAGGGCACAGGAAAGCCTCAGAGCAGGGACACGATGTGAAGAATAATGTCATCAGCACGGCAACTGCAGCGTTTGAGCACAAGGACACTGGGAAGCCACAACGCAGAGGAGTCAAGACCTGGGCCATGCACAGGGTAGGCCCAAAATATTCCTAAATAGCCACGGCTAGACCTACACACTTGATCTACAGTTTGTAAGTCTACAGCTTCGTTGGCCAGGAAAATCAATAAAATTCCAGCCTGAGTCTTTTTTCAAGCCTTTGAAGCCTTGTATTTATATTGAATATGAATACTGCTTTACCAGGCAAAGGATACATTCCAAGCTAACCACTCAGTTCACAGGGTCCAAGATATTTTTAACTAAATAAAGTCAAGATAGTGCAAGCTAGTTAAGTTTTATAACATGCTTTAGTAGTGCATGTCATTGAAAGCTTTGTTTAAAAGCTACCAGCATGGAGTTATGATGTTTCCTTGACAAAGGATCTTTTAAAACGACAAACAATTAGACAAGTCTATAACTTCTAAAAAACTACAGCTGCTCCCTTACATATTTTACTTGGTGTTTATTTTGAACATTAAAGTCTTTCATTATCATTAACTAAAAACATATAAAATTAAGCCTAGTGTCAGTGTTCAGAGTCTGAGGTGAGGTGGCAGGAGTATGTACTCAGTGTAGCAGGACTTATCTGATCCACTGGCAGAGCTGGGGAGTCTCCCTGTGCCACAGGGAAGGGGGATGTCCCAGCATCCTGCACTCAGGAATTGGCTGCAAGCTCTGTGCAGGGTCACAGGACTGCAGCAGTGACCACAGAAATGGTTGATGCCAGCAGGAATGCAGCAGTTTTTACAGCCCAAACCAGTACTTCATTTCAGCAGAGTAAAATTAAAATGAGCATTGGAGGTACCTTTTGAAATAGTTAGTGCTGGGGACCACTGTGATCGTAGAATATCAAGACAAATGCTGCCATTACTGTTAATATTTGGATGATAGATTCTTGTTGTAAATGCAACCTGCAGAAGAAGGAAAATTTTCAGTGTAGGCTCACAAACATACACATCAGACCACATGGTAAGGATGGATTTACGGTAGAAGCCACTCACCTTAGGTGGTTTGAAGGGATAATCTGTTGGGAAGTGAATTGTCAAGAAAAATACTCCACCTTGATAGGGACTGTCGTTCTGTTAATGAGAAAGAATCATTGCAGCTTGAGGAGTCATTACAAGACAACCCATCATAAAAAGCCATGAGCATCAATTCTCTCATACTTACTGGTCCCATTATTGTAGCTTGCCAATGGAACACTGAAAAAGAGAGAGATTTACTTCAGTTTGGAGAAGCTCAAGTAATGATCTTACTTTCTTCCAGACAAAGCAGCACAGAAAAGTCTATTTTCAAAACAAAGCCTTCTGAAAGGCTGCAGGGAAGGGAGCCAAGGAATTAAACAGACACAGGGCAAAGTACTCAATGCTCCACAGCCCGGGATTGCTGTGGTACCACACGTGTGCCCTGCAAAAATCCTGTGACAATAAAAATCCAGACAGTCCCAGGCAACTTTTCAGATTCACAAGTGTGAGTTTAAACTCTGTTGTCTCTGCTGAAGCAGCTGAATCAAGTTTCCACGACTGCCCTGTGAGAACAAAAGGTACATGATGAACTCAAACCTGCTCTCCTCTCAGGGCCCTGAGAACAAGCCCAAGCTCTGTGTACACCACACATACAGAGGTAATTTAAGCCAGTGCTATCCTCACTGAACTTTTAAGCCTGGTCTCCACAGAGGCCTCAAGATTGTGGATTGTCAAGTGGACAAAAGCTAATCCTCACTCACATGCATCTGTCCAAGAGAACATGAATCTGGTCATACAGAGGACTTGTGAAGAATGTTATGCTGGAAAGGAAAACAATCCAAGCTGATAATCTGTATGGGGCACATTACGGAGTTCTCAGAGTTCCTGCATCTCCAAAGGCTCCAGTGCCTGTGCAAAGAGCACAAATATTTGGGGAAATAGGACCATGGAAGCTCCCCTCAGCGTGGATGTCAGCTACATGGCACCTTCAGACTGGGGAGCTGGAGGTGACTCCAGTTGTTGCAAGGGAAGTCTTCCAGGCACAAGATGAAGCCACCAGCAGCTGTGTGGTGTCGATGGCTGTCAAGACTGCCTGGGCCAGAAGTTAGGAGTGGTGTTACCTGTTCTAATCTAGCATGAGCAGTTTTTAAATTACACATGGTACAGGCATTACAGCTGGGAATGATCTCATACAAGGAAGGAGGAAAAAAGCAAAGTGGGAACAGCCCTGCAAGGCCAGAGGAAATGAGAGTTGGGTTGGAGCAGGTTTGTTTTAATCTAGTCTTACATTTCTGTAGCAATGTGGAAGTTTCTATACAGTTCAACACTGGTGAACAGCTCAGAACTGATTCAGAATGATCTTGGCAGCTAATTTTTTCCTTTTAGAAAGGATACCTGAGCTTAGAGCCCTCAGCATATAAATGGATTTCCCTACTTAAATATCCCCTCTCTCAGGGGCTTGGATGCAGCAGCCTCTGAGAAAATACATTCAATGCAGAGCCAGGAAACCACAACAGCAGCTCCATGTCCATATGTAGCATCCCCCCCTTTCCAAGGGGTTCAGACAGCTTCCCAGGAAGTGCCTATCACCTGCAGCTGGACAGGGAGAAACCTGGAGCAGAGGACAAAGGGGGAGCAGGAACCCCACAGGGAAGATTGTGGCCAGTCACAGCAAAACCATCAAAAATCTCACAGGCACCAGTGGATGCTGGTGGGAGTCACTGGAGCACAGAAAGGCACCACTGAAAAAAGAAGCTCAAATAACCATCTATTTTCTTAAACCCAACAAGAAACCAGAAAGAAAAACATTTCCACAGCGAATCTTAACTTTGTGAGAGCTCCCACCCCAGACCCAAGCAAAGTGCTTGTTTAACCTAAGCTTTAGATCCTCACAATATCCAGGACAAGCCTGATGAACGACAAGATAGATTTGCTCATGCATGGCTTATTCCAATTGATTCTTTCCTTTGAAATCACCCCTAAAAATGTATTTACAAAGGAAGGGGGCTGCTGACTTTCAGTAGCTAAGCACAGGTGCATGTCTGGAATAGCTAAGCCACTGCAAGCACACCAATGTCATCCAGTCCCAAGCACATTTCCAAAACACAGCCCAGAGGTGGGTGGAAAAGGGCTAAAACTACATTGCCAAGAAAATCCCACTCCTACAGTTAACAAGGCAGGAACAGCTCTTCACTTCCCAAAGTTTATGAACTACAGGGATGAGAAGCTTATAGCTGGGGACAGATTTGTATCAGCTGGAGTAGCCACAGGAGAGCACTTTGCAAGAACAGCATGTCCCGAACTCCAGGAAATGTCGCTCTGACAAGGCAGCCGAGGCACACCTGGAGCACAGGGATCTGGGAGAAGGCACCTGTCTGCTGCTGCCACTGCTACCCCACTTACACCCCCCCCAAACTGCTGCTCTCAGTAACTGAAGTCTTTCATTAGGGGTCCTTCAGAAAGGTGGCACAAGAAGAACTTTTAGTAATTTAAAGCTTTCTGTGCTCAGCAGTAACTTTCCACCTCTCCTCTGCCAGACAATCGTCATCACCTTTGATAAGGCTTTGGAAACCACAAAGCAGTTTATCATGGCACAAATCACACTTGCTAATTTAAGGGAATAAAAGCCTCAGCCTGGCTCTCCATCTTAGTCATTTCTTTTCCATGAAACTACAAACCTCTTTGAAATACTATTTGGAGAGCAGAAATAAGTTGTGAAGTCACTAAAAGCTTGACCCCACTGCTAAACACTCTCAAAATCAAGCTGAGCTTCCACTTGTTTGAAAGTTCTGCTGAACAGCAACACCCCCACTAATTTCAGTATTTTCATTCTCAGGTTTCAAGTGGGTTTTTTTTCAACCTAGCCCTACATTTCTGTAGGAATGTGGAAGTTTCTATACACTTCAGAACTGCTGAATGGTTCAGAAATGATTCAGAAAGATCTTGGTAGCTAGTTTTTTCCTTTCAGAAAGGATACCTGAGCTCAGAGCTCTCAGCACACAGCTGGAGGGTTTCCATACTTAAATATCCCCTCTCTCAGGAGCTCGGATGCTTTGCTGACAGGACATAAGTGACAGACCACATTGAAAAGCTGGATTTGCAAGTGTTCTTGTCTCTCTGCAAGCATCCTACTGATCTTGCTCACGTAAGCTATGACAAAAGGTTAACGTTGCTATTAAAAAAATAGTCAAGTATAATTTTACACTTTCTGGTGAAAATGAAGAAGATGGTACAACTTGCAGAACTGCTGCAGGTTAAAGGCCCTCACAGAAAACCACCACAATGTACAGGGCATCAGTTAAGGTGCCTTATTCACAGCTAATAATGGCCTGAAGTTGTGTCAGGGGAGGGTCAGGTTGGATCTCAGGAAAAGGTTCTTCCCCAGAGGGTGGTTGGCACTGAACAGGCTCCCCAGGGCAGTGGGCACAGCCCCAAGGCTGCCAGAGCTCCAGGAGTGTTGGACAACGCTCTCAGGGACAGGGTGGGATTGTTGGGGTGTTCTGGCCTGGGCCAGGAGTTGGACTGGATGATCCCTGTGGGTCCCTTCCAACTCAGGATATTCCATGATTCTAATGCAAGCAGACTGGGGAACACCACTTAGAACTAATGTAAGAACCAGCCACATAAACACCCTGAAGTGAAGTCACACGATGTATCCTGTCCTCCCCTCCCTGGGCCAAAATACAGGCACAAGGTAACAGTTGATCTTCTTACTATAAATCAACATTAGATAAAAAAAAGTCAGGGTAGGATTTTAAAGAGCTGCTTTTTTTCCTGCCTAACACACCTCCTTGAGCTTCAAAAAGGACAGAACAACTGCAAATCACACCTCAGGTGAACAGCCTGGCACAGCAAACACCAGCTGATGTGGAGGTCAAAGAGGCTGTCTGAGGCTGTCCCTTACCAGGAGCTGGCAGGGCACACTGATCTGGGCACACATTACAAACCCAGAGTCAGAATGGTTTGGGTTGGAAGGGACCATTAGGATTATCTTGTTGCACCCCCTGCCATGGGCAGGGACACCTTCCACTAGCCCAGGTTGCTCCAAGCCCCATCCAGCCTGGCCTTGGACACTTCCAGGGTTGAGGCAGCTTCTCTGGGCAACCTGTGCCAGGGCCTCCCCACCATCACAGGGAAGGATTTCTTCCCAGTATTGAACCTAAACCTACTCTCAGTAAGAAGTTATTCCCCCTTTCACTGTCACTACGGTTCCTGATAAGTGTATGATTTAAGGATGCTTCTCCTGCACCTCCTCCCTAAGAACCCATGTCCCAGTCAGGCCACAAGTTAAGTCATGACAGCAGGGTTTGGACATTCTGGTTTTGCTTATTGAGAAAGCCACAAGAAGTATTCCAAGTGGAGTGAAATCCTGCCTATAAATTAAAAAAAAACAAAACCAAAACCAACCAAACCCAACTAACATTACTTCATGATTCAAGTTGTAATTTATCAACATTTCCCTTCTAATCACGTTGTAACCTCTGAACCCCAAGGACTACATATAACTCTTTAAAAAAAAAAAAGAAAAGGCAGTATTACCTAACTGCTGTGTAAAACAGAGCTAGCCCTGACCTTGCTGTACCAGCAGAAGTCTTAGGAGTAGTTTGTTTTAGTCCTACAAGAACACATGACTACACCACGTACAGTTTAGATATCCAAGTGCAGAAAGCTGTGGGCAGGTGCTTGCTGGTTTGGCCACAGAGGTTTCCTAACACCACCCAAAATTCCAGAACAGTTAACTCAAAAGGTGTAATTTAAGATGTTCATTGAGCTGTCCAATTAATAGAGTGGGAGTAGCATCAGTGATACACAAGGAAGGTGTTAAAGGGATACAGAAGAGCAACAAATTTTGGATCAGGATGGGGAGCAGTATCTGGTACTCTAACCAGAAGAAACAGAAAGGTTCTCCTTGCTGAGGTGCTGGACATCCTGTTTGAGAAGGAAAGAAGTGGGACAGTGCAGGTGTCTGCTGAGAGCAGGATACTTACTGTCATCCCCGACAGGCCCTGCTGAACACTGTGCTGGAGGATCACGTGCCAGATCGTTCAACTCCTACAAAACAGGAAGAGTTCAGTTCATTTCGTTTCAAAAACATGTTTTAGCGTGTTATTGCTAAAAAGCTGCTGGTGGCAACTCTGGCAGCATCACAAAACTAACAGCCAGGATTTTGGAAAGTAAAGCTGCATCTTCAACCCAGGAGCCACGTTTGGCACCTGCCTCAGTGCCCTGTGCAGGCTGCCCAGACCCTGAGTCACAGCAATCTCACCACGTCACAGGGTCTGCTGGGTGTGCCTGCGCTGTCCCAGCATTACCAAGGTATTATATCCTCCACTGTCCCCAGGTCACAGGGAGATAAGGTGGCCTCAATCCAACAACTCTCTGTATCAGCCTTATTTTATCCCCTCTACTGTAACAGTTCCCAGACTGCTCCAGCTCTGGTGATCCAGTTTATCACCTGCACAGCCTGCCTGCAGCACACACAGCTCCAGTGACCTGGGGCTGCTTTGCCTCCACACAGACACATCAGTGACCACGGGGGGAGAAATGGAATAAAACACAAGGCCTTCCCTACCTACAGACCTGAATGGAAACCCTCACTTTTCAGTGCCTGCGTCAGTCAAATTTTCCTCTGAAGAAATCCCATTATCAGTCTGAGGGGGCTGAGTAATTCACAGCACTCCTGAATTATATCAAGCTTCAATTTGAAGCAACATTTTAGCACACTTCAGAGAATTACTGTTACCAGCAACTCGCATTAGCCATTTTCTCAGGAAGTGGATGTTTAGTGGGAACCAAAAATAGAGTAAAACTTTAAAGACAAACTTTACCTGCCCCATTTCTGGCTCAGCCACTGACCTGCTTTGCATGATAGGCCCACACATATCAGCTTTGTTCTGTCCTGGGTCAGTCTAGAAAGCTGAACACACACCAGACAAGGATTACAACTAAATCTAGTGCTCAGGAAACACTTCCATGCTGTCCCCGGTCCGTTGTGTGTTCAGCTTTTCACCTCCCAGCAACAGTCCACAGAGAAGTTTCCATACCAGGCTTTTGGCAGACAAAACATTTAAGGACAATGTTTAAGACAAGCAGATTGCAGGAGTGGAAAAGGTTTGCCACTTAATGGCCTTTTGTTATTTACAAGCAGTGAGTGATTAAGCTCTTGAACAGATGATCTCTGGGAATTTCAGCTTCCACTTCCCAGGAACCAGGAGACCACCACTAAGCAAACCCTCTCCAGTTACAACCCTGGAATGCTGCCTTACATCAAACAGGTATATCTCTGGGATCCCCCCTCTGGATGCAGCGCAGATCCAAAGCTTCACATTCCCTGACACACACACACAAGTTTGGTTCAGCTCTCAGGAGCTCCCGACTGCTGAAGAGCCCAGCTGGAAACCTCCTGACTCACCAGTCTATGGGAGCTTTTGCAGAGCTCCTGCTGAGCTTCTTCCACTTTGTGGTTCAGCACAGACTTGCACAGGAGCAGGCACTGCACACACAGCACCTGCTGAAGAGCCCCCTCCATCCTGAAGGTGGAGAGAACATCTCCAGAGCTCCATGTGCCATCTCTGAAGGCTTAAAGCCCTTTGGAGCTGCTCCAGCAGCAGCAAACCAGGAGACACCCTGTAGGGCAGCACAGGAAGGTGCAGACACTACACACACACCTTCCTCAGGGTCAGTCCAGCCAATGAGTCCAGTCTCCACAGGAAAACTTAAAACCAGGAATACACCAACTCTTCCTGAAGCTGCATGGAACACAGTCCACTTCCAAATGCTACTGGACTCTAATTTTCTGGAAAAGACAATTTAATGCTATGGTATTCAAAACCACAAACACACTTAGTAAAAAATCTTCTTTGCCACTTCTCATCCTGTTTTAGGCATCAATACAAAGCATCCACTTGACTAGGAAGGTACAACTGTAAGAATCCACAGCCCACCATGGATTATATTTATTAACACACAACGTGCAGCTTCCCTACTATAAAGGGGAAATAGTTACAAACAGGAGCTTGGCCACACACTTTACCAGTTAGTAGAATAAACATAAAGCTGCCCTGACACTCCCCCTGTATCCTGCTGCCCAAAAGCACTAAGTGCTTCACCAAACTGGATACAACAGTGGGACCACAAGGTAACTCTCCAACAGAGGCAGCAGTGAAGGTCGGGTAGCAGCAACTTCATTTCTCATCAAAATATTACTTCGTTCTCTACATCTCCAGTTCCAGCCAGAAAGGAATACTTTGGTTTTCTGAAGCCCTGGGTATTATCTCAGTGGAAAACCATGACTTACAACAACCACTCATACCACTCGTCTCACTGACAAGGTGGCATTTCAGGTTCTGCTCTATAAATTCACAGAGTGAAAACACCACAGATTAAAATCCGTGTAAAAAGCAATGCGTAAGCTCCTTGTGCCTGGAAAAGTTTTGCACCAACTCCCATTTCAAGCCCCTGCAAGACAAAACCTCCCATGTTTTGTAGAACAACAGCCTGGAGAGCAATAAGGAAGTTTAAGACCCCTCTGGAGCGCAGGCAGCAGCTGCCTCTGCCCACCAGAGAGGCAAACTGGATTTCCTGGCAGGGCATGGATAATCCCATTAACACACCATTCCCTTCCAGCTGCTTCTAAGACTCCCACTACTCCTTTGTCAGAGCTGCAGAGCCAAGTTTAAGGACAGGAGCGGAGCTGTATCTATCCAGGCACACACAGAGGAGCACCCACAGCTGCTGCAGAGCCCTGTCCCAGAGGTTACTTTGCCTTTTGCAGGCTCCTGAGCATTCCCAAGGCACTGCAAAAGCACAACACCCAACCCAGCGAGGCCTTGGCTTCCAGATGTTGTTGCTGAGGGACACTGAGAACCAGCTGGTTTGTGTAATTCTGAACAAATGACTCCAGAGTTCCCATAAAACTGGAGCTCATAGCACGTGGTGGGTTCAGTTACAGTCTGGTACCATCTACAAACCTGCACGGATCTGATCCCAAACTGCTTTATTCCCTTGTGATCAAGGAAGTGATCAAGCCTGATCCTGACCACAGTGATACTAAAACAAAATCTGAAGCCGGTTCCCACTCCAGTTAGTTTCTGGTCCTTAAGCACATGAAGTAGGTTTTGCTTTAGGAGCTTACAAGTGAAGACTCCAGCAGCCTTTAGATCAAATTCCAGTTTGAGTTACTCAGCTCCCAGGGGCTGCCTCACCCTGAGCTGGCTTTGCAGCTGAAGGCATCCTACAGAATTTAAAGTTTCTGCCATCTGCCCTACAGCAAAACACCCCCAGGGCTGGGCCCACTGCTGTGGATCCTACCATTAACCTGACCCATCTCACAGCTATTAATGAGTCCCTCAGCAAAAATGAGGAAGTGGAAGCACAGCACAAAGCAAGGTTCAAGGTGTCCTGCCCAAAGGCCAAGTTGAATGCAACTACTGCAACTAAATCCATGAAGAACATACCCTAAAAACTATAAAAATCACACAAGAAACTGATGTTTAAGCTCCAAAATGAGATTTAAATGCGCTCCAAAGTTCCCAACAAACCAAACTCCTACTCAGGGGTTCCAGGAAAGCATTTTAAGGGAGATGGAGCGTGCTTATGCCACAGACCCCCCAGCTGTGCTTCCCGAGTCATGAAAGGCATCAGCTGCCAGCGAGGCCTCGGGGCTCACGAGCAAACCAGTGCCACCAGCCTTGCTCAGCCCCACACTACCCTCATCCTACCCTCCTCCTATTTCCCAGGAGCCTGTACACTGCCTTGAAAACACACCTCAATGAGGGAGTTCACAAACTGCATGAAGCTTTCAAAGAACTACCAAACCCAAGTGGTTTAGGTCTCAAAGTTTAACCCTGCACATGTTCCAAGTTATAATTGTAAACTCCAAAGACATTTGTTAGAGGAGTTCAAATTTATTCCTCTAGACAACAAATCCCTCCCTAGTCTAACACATTCCTGGTAAAACCTGCTCTGGCCAGAAGACTAGTTTTAAGGATTAAGTTAATGCTAATACAGCCTTCAGTAAGAATAACCAACCTAACTGGCAACATCAAGAAGCCAATCAGGTGAGTAAAAAGTCAGCACCCTTTAGCAGTCAGCTCCAGCAATTTTATTTGGTGCACAGCAGAGATCCTTAAATCCACCCCAAAACACTAGATGTATCCCAAGTCCTCTTAGCTTGGACTCCATGGGCTTTCCACCCTCCTCCAGTTTGAGCTGCTTCCACACTGTATTTTAATCAGAGACCACACCATTAGCTTGATTATAAACCTAATTTCTGCCTGAGGTTGCTGCTGTGAGTGAAACAAGCTTTCCATCTGCCTTTTGCAAGCCTACTTGCCCGAAGCCCCCGAACCCTTCAGCAACAGGCAGTGTAGGGTGATGTTACAAAATCCTGACTTATGTAACCAAAAAGGAACTCGCAGCCACTTAGCCATGAATTGTTCCCAGCTCCCAACAGAGCCAAGCAATAGGGAATGAGGGCCAAAGTCGAATGGATCACACCCAGCCTCACCTCAGGACCACAGAGGGCAGTGCCCTGGGCAGGACCCATGGGGCAGGAGGGTGGGAACAGCCTCTGCACCTTCCCTGGGCCAGCAGCACCTCCCTGCCAGGTGCCAGAGCCTGGATCCACCTGGCATTTCCCTCAGCTCCTCTCACCCAGCAGCACCAGGCAGTGCTCTCAAGGTCAGGCCACCAATTCCCTGCCACATCCATGGGGGCTCTCCTGCCTGGACTACGATTCCAGAGCATCTGCCATTCTAATGCTGCTACCCTGATTAACAGCAGCATTTTAATCCTTCCTTTTTGACAGAAACTGCTTTTGCAACGCTTGAAGTGGCTCAGATCCTCCAACTTTGACTCCTTCCAAGACTGCAGAAGTCAGGAGGTAACTGAGCAGCATGAAAAGATTCACAAAGCACAGCAAGGTACGTGTTATAAACATGCTCTGATATAACTGTCACCTTCCCTTCTTTATTTTTTTCAAAGCCTGCACAGGAAGAAGACCAAAGCAATGTATAACTTCCTCCTGGGGTAGAGTCTGAGTATCAAAACACCTCTCCAGCTAAGAGAAGCCTCCCAGCCCTCCCTGTACACAAGCTCTCCGACACAGATGGGCTGTGTTGGCAGCTCCACGCACACAGCCAGGCCCAACGGAAGAACCCAGTTGCTCCCACTGGCTGCTGTACAGAACTGGGAGCACCGAAATAACACCGAGTTCACTCAGCACAGGTAGCACAACCACAGCTCTGAACACCAACAGCACCACTGACCTCACATCCCACCCACGGGCACGGCTCTTTTTGGCAGAGGCGATGCCTAAGCATCCCTAGAGATCGGGCAGCTCTGGGCTCCAGGACTACAGCAACTACTACCACCCTCCTCCACAGCTGAGCAGGAACTGATGGAAGTCAGAGCTTAGTTCTGTGAAGCATTACCTGGATTTTGGGCCTCTACAGTATGAGCAACAGTAATCCACCACTCCTCTGCTACAGAAAACACTTTACTTGAGCAGGGCTCAGGCACAGCTGCTGCCTTCCCTTCCCCCTCAGCCGCCGATCACACAGGGGAGCCCAGGAAAGACAATGAGCTAACCTTTCCCTTGCTCTCCCATTCAAAGAACTCCAAACGCTGCCCTAGTTATCCAGTTATAGGTATTGCATTCCCTTCAGATAAGGAACACAGATGGGGACGTGGCTGAATCCAAAGTGCTTTGGCTTAAACCTTAAAATGGAAGCCACTCACTCTGGTCCTCCTGTCTCCCTCCCATCCCACCCCTGGATTGCTTCACTCTGCCCTTCTTATGAATTTACCCACGATAAAACAGATAATTGTTATGTACAAACAACTATTAAATTGCTGCACTTCACGGTTATCTCAGGACTCTGCCTGGCAGCCCTGCTTACACCCCAAACAGTTCCACAAGAAAAGATTTCCACTTTCAGGCCTGTGGGCCAGCAAAAGACACCTAAACAAGAATTTGGAGCCCCGCTGCCCAAAATACTGCAGTGAGTAACAGGGGCAGCAATCTGAGAGCAGGTCTCACCCAGGCTGAGCTCTTCTGGAGCATCTGCTCAGAGAACAGCTGCTGCTCCCTGCACACACGTTATCCCAGCACGAGCCTCTGGACAATCCCAAGAGCAACTGTGCCACAGGGACAGGCCGGGACAGACCCTGCAGGTTCCTCTGCTGCCTCACACACCAGCAACAATGAAGCTCACCCAGTGTAAACTCCTGGTTCTGCCCCCTCTTCCAGCCCAGAGCAGCTCACCATGCAAGAGGCCATTTCAGGTAACACTGTATCAAAGGTTTACTCTCGGGATTTTCTCCTCCTTTCCAAGTTCTCTTGCCTATGTCATGCGAGGACACAAAAATTTTGGGAAAAGCGTCACAGAAAGGCCTTTGTGGTTCGGTATAAAACCCAAACTGCCAAGAGCAAGGTCCAGTGGCCGGGCTGAGCCCTGCACGGATACACCGTGACTGATCCCACCCTCAAAAAAAGCCAGAGTAGCAGTTTTCCCTCCCATGCCGTCTCTGTGCTCTGCTCCACCGGCATTATTCCTACCCGACCCACACTCTGCAGTCTCCTGCTCTTGCCACAAGTTGCAACAGCAAAGGTCAGTAGCTGTCTGTCCCCTCCTTATCCTGACAGGGATGGCCACCACACACTCCCAGAGCCCAGCACAACCCGGAGATGATGATAGGAGAGCTCTCCACAGGGTTTAAAATAGCCAGAGCGTAAACAACCAGCCATGATTACTGGAGCAGTCAGGGCCAGACACCCACAGCAACTCAGAGTGCTCCTTCCAGCCTGGAGCTCCACTCCCAGCCAACTTCTAAAGCACCTGGGCTGCTAAAACAGGCAAGTTTATTTCCCTCCACGCAGGTTTTCTGCTGGAAATGCTGCCTCCAGCCCCATCACCTCCCTCTCCTCCACAGCCACCAGCACACTCACTCCACTGGAACTCTCGGTGCTTTGCAGAGCTCACACAGCACTGCTTTGGAGCTCTGAAGACTCTCATAACCCCACACAATCCCAATTATCCCTCGGGGTTCTTCATCCTTGAAAAGCAGCAGGAAGAGTCACTCCACGAGAACCCAACGTTAACAAAGACTCAACACATCCAGCTCCTCTCCTGTCACAAACCAGCCTGGAAACACAAGTGCTCTCAGAGCGCTGACTCCTGACCCTGAGCTCCCACTGAACTACAACCAAGCAGCTTTCCCGAGTTACCTGACAGGGAATTCACCATCCCCACACCAGCCCTGTGTGTCCCCCAGCCACATTTACCCCCCTCAGCATCCACTGCCCTGTCTCCCAGGTCTATCGACCCACTCCCAAGGAGGAAGAAGAAGAAGTCTTCCCAAACACCTGTGAGCCCACAGGCACTGTGGAACACTCCTCACAGGGCCCTGAGGATCTCTAAAGTAAGGGACAGAACACTGCGGACAAGCAGCACACAGCTGGAGCACAACTTCCTTATGTAACTCCTTATGTACCGGGCCCTCAGCTGGAAAAATCCAACACCCTAAAACCACACTCCAAATCCTCCTCTTCCAAGTGCCCCCTATTCCACGAGCAAAAGTAAGGCTTCAAGATCTCTCCCATTTTTCTTCTCCACCACCTGAGCTTTAACCTGACCATGAACCTTCACAAAGCCTCCAAGGTAACCTAAGAGCAAAGCAGAGATGTTAACACAGACCCGACAGCACACACAAAACCAAACAGGGCTACAAACTCAGCTTCAGTGGGAGCTTGGGGGTCGGCAGCTGGTTCTACACAAAAATCAGGTTTAAGTAGTCACTGAGAGCAGAAACACCATGGGAGGGCTATTTTCTACACCTGACCCTTGTATACAGACTCTAAACTGACAGCTACACATTTTGCAGGAAAAAGGATACAAATTCACTAAAGAAATAAAATACAAGTGGACTCTGATAACCCTCGAGCTTTTTTTTTTTTTCCTGGTAAAAGACATTGATGATCAAGCAGACACTTTTCAGACAGCACGGGAGCTGGGCAGCAGCGTTTTCCCAGGAGGCCGGGACACGGAGCAGGGTTCCAGGGAGGGGAAGGCAAGGCTGTCGCTTCCCCTCGGAGCCTGCGGGATGACTCAGGTGGTAGCACAGCTCCATTAGAGGAGCTAAACCACAGCGCCGTGTGACAGCTTCACCGCGCTCGGGGCCGCGATCCGGAGCGCAGGGACAGGGCCCGGCGGAACTTCCAGCGCGGGGAAGGGCCGGGCCGGGCCGGGCCGGGCCCCCGCGGGACCGCAGCGGCCGCCGGGCCCGCACCAACCCCGGCCCGGCCCGGCCCCGCCACCGGCGCCCCCTCGCGGCCCCGGCCCGGCCCCGGGGGGCCACGTTGCTCCGGAGGGGCCCGGCCCGGGCCCCCCTCGAACAAAGCGGGAGCGGCCCCCGCGCTGCCGCCCGGCCCGGGCCCCGCGCGGCGCGGCCGGGCCCGACCCCAGCCCGGGAGCGGCAGCCGCGGGGCCCCGGCGGGGTTATGTAAGGCGGGCGGCGCGGGGCCGGGCCGGGCCGGGCCGGGCGGCCCTTACCTTGTGGATTCTCTTCAGCGCCATTGTGTGCGCGAGGCGGCGGCAGGAGGGGCGCGGGCGGAGGGAGGGGCGGCCCGCGGGACTATTTGCGAGGGGAGGGGGGAGGAGGAGGAGCAGCGCGGAGGTGGTGGCGGCGGGGCGGCGCGGGGAGGGAACGGGGAGGGGACGAACGGACGGAGAGAGCGGAGGGGAGGGAGGGGACCGGGGCCCCCCGGGGCGGCGGGGCCGGGCCGGTGTCGGGGCGGTGGCGGCCGCAGGCTCAGCGGTGCCGCAGCTCCTCCGCTCCCTCCGCCGCCGCCGCTTTATGCGCTGCCTCCGCGCCGCCCGCCGCGGATCACTCCGCCGCCGCCGCTTCCCCCCCCGCCGCGGGCCGCGCTGCCGGTTACCGGCGCGGAGGGGGCAGGATGGGGCAGAACGGGGAGGCCTGAGCGGCACCGGCGGGAGGAGGAGGGGTTGGGAGGGGTGTGTGCGGAGAGGGGGACGGGGAGCGGCGGGGGACTATTTGTCGTGCGGGGCCGCCGTGCAGAACTCTCCAGAAGGGGGAGGGGTGGCGCGCGGAAGGATACGGCGGCCGGCCGGTCGGAGGAGTGAGGCACAGAGCGCGCGCGCGCGGGGCGCGTGACGCGGCGGCGGCGTTGTCTCGCGAGAGCTGCGGGCGGGAAGAAGTCCCGGCAGGGCCGGGAGCGGCCTGAGGGGACCGGGATTGGGATCGGGAATGGGATGGGATGGGATGGGACGGGACACGGCACGACACGGCACGATAGCCCGCCCCGCAGCACCCTGGGGAGCGGCTTGGGAGGGGCACACGGGGTGTGTGTCGTTCAGGGGCGACACGTGCGCACAGTATCGGCGATTCACGGGAGGGCCTGGGTTGGAAAGGGATCTTGAAGTTCCATCTCGTCCCAACCCCCTGCCACGGGCAGGGACACCTTCCTCTAGCCCAGGGTGCTCCAGCCTGGCCTTCGACACTCCCAGGGATGGGGCAGCCACAGCTTCCCTGGGCACCCTGTGCCAGGGCCTGCCCACCCTCACAGGGAACGATGCCTCCCTAATGTGTAACCTAAATCTGCTCCCTTTCACTGTGAAGCCATTCCCTCTGTCCTGCCCCTCCATCCCTTGTCCACAGTCCCTCTCCAGCTCTCCTGGAGCCCCTTCCCAGAAGAATCCCCCCCTCCCCTGCTGCCCACCCTGTGGGATCAGCCCAGCACACTGAGGGGTTCTGGGGCCCAGTTACAAGGCTGGGGCAAATTGAGTGACTTGCCCCACTCTTTTCCCCTCTCTCAGGTTCAGGGGGCAGTGCCTGTTGAAGCAACCTGGACTAGTGGCAGGGGCTGGGACTGGAGGGTCCCTGGTGCTGCTCCCCCCGGGACCAGCCTCCTACAGCAATCCAACCTTTCTGGTGGCTTTTGCACAAGGGCGTGTTTGGAATTAATTTCTCTTCCCTCCTCTGCATTTGGTATGGCAAAAATAAACCAGGGATTCACAAAAATGGCTTTGTGGGTGGGTTTTATTTGTTGGTGGGGGTTTTTCTCAACTGCTTTGGTTAATTTTGTGGCTCTTTTCCCTCTTTTCCTGTTGCCTTTTGAGTTGTTGGACACCCCTTGATTGCTGAACGCCAGGCAGCAACCCTGCCCAGCTCACTGATCTGATGTCCCAGCACAAGGGAGTCTTCTCCTTCCTCAGGAATATCTTTGGAAACAACCTTCTCCTGTTCCTGGGGAAATTTTCCAAGTACCTTCAAGTCACAGCTCTAAGGACTTCACATCAGCCAAGATTAAAGTAACCTTTTTCCCTCTATTCTCAGGAAAAGTGTTGGATTTCATCCCCAAAAAGAGACAGGCAAATAGTTTTGTTGTGCTTCTGGTACCAAGGATAATGATGAGCTGCTGTTTGTTGCCAGCTGGATGTGAATTTCTCCCAGAGATGAGAAATGGGAGCAGAAAAGTCATTTTCATAATGTTTTTCTCACAAGGTCAGACCTGTGACACCCAGGAATGAGATTTCATAGAATCTTAGAATGCCAGGATGGTTTGGGCTGGAAGGGACCTTAAAGCTCATCCCATTCCACCCCCTGCCATGGGCAGGGACACCTTCCACCAGCCCAGGGTGCTCCAACCTGGCCTTGGACACTTCCAGGGATGGGGCAGCCACAGCTTCTCTGGGCAACCTGTGCCAGGGCCTGCCCATCCTCACAGCCAACAATTCCTTCCCAATATCCCATCTAACCCTGTCCTCTGGCAGTGGGAAGCCATTCCCTGTGTCCTGTCCCTCCATCCCTTGTCCCCAGTCCCTCTACAGCTCTCCTGGAGCTCCTTTAGGCCCTGCAAGGGGCTCTCAGGTCTCCCTGGATCCTTCTCCAGGTGAACCCCCCCAGCTCTCCCAGCCTGGCTCCAGAGCAGAGGGGCTCCAGCCCTGGAGCAGCTCCGTGGCCTCCTCTGGACTCTCTCCAGCAGCTCCACATCCCTGTGCTGTTCCCCAGGGCTGGGGCAGCTCTGCAGGGGGTTCTCACCTGAGGGGCTGAGGGGCAGAACCCTCCTGCTGCCCACACTCCTTGCTCCTCATCAGGCAGATGTTGTCTCCCCACTCTGTTCCTGCTGCGCCTCACCCACCCCCCATGGCATTTGAGGAGATATTCCACCTGCAGATTCCTGCCTTCTGTCTCCCAGGGAGGGAGCAGGTCCTGCAGCCCCATCCCAGGGACACCGCTGTGCTCTTGGCTCCTGCTCCAGAGGGAAGCACTGAGGGATCTGCTCCCTGTGCCTGCCAACACCATCCTGTGCCAGCACCTCCCGCTCCCAAACAGCAGAGCATCACTGGGGGAGTTCTCTGAGTCCTGCCTTGTCCTCAGATGACTCCTGTTTCCTTCATCTCCCTCTGATCAGCTCTGCTCCACAGGGTCAGGTTGCAGGGATGTATTAGGGGAAAAAAACCTCTAAGTGGTGAGGAAAGGCACAAGAATTTAAAGGAACACAAACTTCCCAGCTGAGCTGGCTAAATCTGGTCTTTTAGGCTTTGGTGACCACTGAGACCTTTCTTAGAAGGTGGAGAAAGGTCAGTCTAAAGGAGGGAAACACAACTGGGAAAGAAAAAAATCCCCAGTGTTGGGCACACAGATAATGTTGAGCAACGTCCAAAGAAAAAACCTCCCTGCAAAATGGTCCAGGAGCAGCTCCCGTCCCAAAGGTGCTCTGCCCAGCAGCACCACCCCACTCATGGAATCATGGAGTGGTCTGGGTTGGAAGGGACAATAAAGCTCATCCCATTCCACCCCCTGCCCTGGGCAGGGACACCTTCCACTATCACAGGCTGCTCCAAGCCCCATCCAACCTGGCCTTGGACACTTCCAGGGATCCAGGGGCAGCCACAGCTTCTCTGGGCAACCTGTGGAGGACCTCACCACCCTCACAGGGAAGAATTCCTTCCCAATATCCCATCTAACCCTGTTCACTGGCAGTGGGAAGCCATTCCCCCTTGTCCTGTCCCTCCATCCCTTGTCCAAAGTCCCTCTCCAGCTATCCTGGAGCTCCTTGAGGCACTGGAAGGGCTCCAAGGTCTTCCCAGAACCTTCTGTTTTCCAGGCTGAACCATGGAAGTTCTGGAGCAGAGTCTTAAAGATCCTGGGATAAGTTAGCCAGGCTGCCAGCTAAAAAAAAGCCTTTTGGTCCCAAAGGGAATTCTTTGGCACCTCAGCTCAAACCATTCCTGAAAGGAACTTCTGAACTTCCACTACACAAGTTGCCCTGTGTGTCACGAGGAGATTCCCACCACATCAACCACAGCTTGTGCCTCTCCTGCTGCCATTCCCAGGCTTGGCTGTATCCAGATGCCAGGGCAACCATTGTCCCTTCCATCAAGAGACCAGATGGATCAGAATCCACAGGAACACTTATCAAGGAGCTCCTCCTGTGGGGTTTCAACCCAGGGGTCAGTGCTTTGGAAATGCTTTTTTCAGCCTTGTCCCAATCCCGTGGAATTTGTGTCATTGGAACCCGAGGCATCACGACCAGGAAGAAAATAGGTGGAATCATTCCCATATTAGTTTTGAAATTCTGGGTGACTCAGATAGATGAGTCTTGCCATGAAATGATTGGGTTTCTTTCGACACTGGCACAGGCTGCCCATGGCAGTGGTAGAGTCCCCAAACTGGAGGGAGGTAAAGACATGTGGATGTGGCACTTGGGAGCCCCTGCTCCAAAGTGATTTCCCATTTCTGGAGTCCTTTGCCCTTCCTGGGATGAATCCAATCCAGGATTGCCACAATTTCTAAGCCTAACAGAAGTAACTTGTGAAGTGACTTGCTCTTGTTCTCAGTTAAATGTGTTTAAAACTAAGTTGGTCTGAGAAACTGTGAAAACTTTTATTCTTTAAATAAAGCCAGGATTGGGGGGTGGGGCTTTTTTTATTTCTATTTTTTAAATAAACAATGACAGGGCAGTCATGGAATGGTTAAACCTCCTCAAAGAGAAACAGCAGGAGCTTTTGAGGCAGAAATCAGTGCTGACAGTTTTAGGCAAGCCCTGAATTCTTTGTCCCCGTGGTCCCAGGACACCCTCCTGTCAAGGAGCTGTTGAGAGAGAGAAGGTCCCCCTGAGCCTCATTTTCTCCAGACTGAGCCCCCCCAGCTCCCTCAGCTGCTCATGGTGCTCCAGACCCTTCTCCAGCTCTGTTCCCTTTCCTGGACACGCTCCAGCCCCTCAATGTCCTTCTTGTGAGGGGCCCAGAACTGACCCCGGGACTTCAGGTGAGGTCTCATCAGTGCAGGGGACAGTCATGGGACCTGGAGGGGACCTGGAGGAGCTATTCAAGGCATTTTGAAAGCTTATTTTCAAAGAAAATGAAGCACCTGAGATGCTCCAGCCCAAGAAAAAGATGTCTGAGCTCTGAAGCCATCAGTGATTCGGGGAGGAGGAAAGGGCTGGTTCATGTCCCTCCCAGCACAAGAACAGGGACACCCCAACCAACACCAGCCTGTGACAGTTCCAAAATGAGCAAAACTGGTTTCTGCACCCAACACTGATGATCCTTGTGGGTCCCTTCCAACTCAGGATATTCCTGATTCCATGCAACTGCTTGGCTGAGCGAGTGAGAGACGACGTGTGCTCAGGAGCTGGGGGAAGCAGGTCCTGCTGCCACCAGATTTTACCGAGCACATGGTGGCTCCTCACTGCACCAGAGACTGGCCTGGCTCACA